CCTGGGAGGACTCCGATGAGGTGTGAGCAGCTGTGTGCACAGACTTGCACATTCCAGGGGATGTCATGAATCCCAAGTCTAGATTTGGATTTATGGAGCTCGAGGCCAGCTGGATAAGTGACCAGGACTCATAGAGAGGGTTTAAGTGATGTTATAGTGTCACCTAGTGGCTTAATGTTTGAATTCACCGACAAGCATGAAAAAAGCGGAAGTGTGGCTGAATGCTTTTTGTGTTAGTTTTAATTGTAAAAGTCTGAATTGATTCAGCATTCCATGAGTGTATGTGTAGAATTTCTACTGTGCAAGGCAGCGGCCAAGGCTCAGGTAATACGTACTTGGGTCCCTGGCCTCAGGAAGCTTGCTATAAGACATTGATGAGCACTTAGGTATTTATTCTTCCAGGGTGGAAATGAGAGTTCATAGGAGAGTGAGGTTCTAATGCAGCGGTTCTCAACCTGTGGGGCGAGACCCCTTTGGTGGTCGGACGACCCTTTCACAGGGGTCGCCTAAGACCATCCTGCATATCAGATATTTACATTATGATTCATAACAGTAGCAACATTACAGTTATGAAGTAGCAACGAAAATCATTTTGTGGTTGGGAGTCACAACATGAAGAACTGTATTAAAGGGCCAGAAGGTTGAGAACCACTGTTCTAATGACTGGGATAAAAAGGGAAGCAGGACCTTTGAAGTCGGAGAAAATGGGTTTGAGTCTCTGCTTCCCCAGGTGATGGCCAGGTGGCCTCGAGTCACTTGATTCATCTCTCTGGGCCTCCGCTTCCTCCTTTGGGAACAGCATTGTATTTCTAGGGCTGAGCAGATCAGTGGCAGCCAAATGACTGGTTGAAGATTTTGGTTTTAAAAATGTACATATTCTCTTATCTATTGATTTCTTGTACCAAGTTGTGAAATAAAAATCATTTGATCATAGCCCTGCTCGAGAGACGCGCCTGACATAGCCCTTTCATACGGGCCAGAATCCTAAAAGAATGCTCTGGCCTCAGAGAGTCGGACAAAGGGATGGCCTTTGTCTGTTATTTGTACAGCTGGCCCCGAGCCTGACGCTGCTGTAGCACAGTGGGGAGGCACGGATCTGGTCTGAGACTCGGTGCCAGCCAACCTTTGAGTAGAGAGAAGGATGGCCTGGTGGCTTCACCTGGCATGCCAGTTTCCTCAGCTGTCAGTCAATTGTCGTTTCTGGGGGCAATGAATCTGCTCTCTGACTTCACTGTCTCTCACTGAAAGTAGTAAACCACAGGGGCCATTCTGGGTCAATGGTAGCACCAAACAAATACAATAAAATAAAATAAATTAATTAAAAATAAAAAATAAAAAAGTCAGAGCACCACTGGGCATGCTTTTTTGTTGTTGGATTGAATAGCAATTGGATTGTGTA